GACTTTTCATCCATGTTGTCTAACTTTTCTCTTTCATGTTACCAGAGTGCGAAGTAGTTATCACTCTTAAGTCTGTTAGCTAGTGTCTGCATGAAAAAGTTGGAGGAGAATTTCAAAACGTCACCTCAGAAGCCAAGAGTAATTATGCGATATTTGGATAAATTCTTCGCCCTCTGGTCGCATTAAAAAAAATTAACCGATTTTCTGATCTTTTTAAACGACGGATGAAAAAGTCAAATTTACAATAGATGTGGAAAAGAACTTAAAATATTATAAAAAGAATAGAATCACTCATTAACCCGAAAAATATTAATTACCTAGACAAAGTAGTAATAATTAAAAATAGCAGCACCCTCGTGTATATTTTCACTAACATAGTCATGGAAAAAAACGTTAAAAAAAGGCATTACCCCGACAACACTTGCTAGAAATAGATAAGCTTCTAGAAAACAAGCCCGCCAACTCAGCTAAAATTCCAAAAGGTAACTAGACCGTAAGGTGAGGTCAAAATTTCAGCCTGAGATTGCCTTTTGTGAATCAAGGATTCGTGAAATTTAATGGAAACGTGAGGCCTACTCAGGCTATTTTGGAAGAATGAAACTTGAGCTGAGTACAGCTCTTGGTAGAAAGTAACTCACCAAAGTGGTGGATGGTTGATGCTTATTACATTTGGTTTAAGAAAAAATGTTAACTTCAGGCCGTCAATACGCGAATGAAAATGGGTTCAGCCGACGACTTGATACAAGAGAAAATGAATATCGTTTTGACCGCCATTAAGCTTGGCTCGCTCTTCTGAGCACCCTTATATTGCGAGCTAAATCAGATATAGTGATCGAGGCTATTATATAGGAGGTGCGATAGTAGATATGCTATGACCTGACATGTTTTTGCCGTATTCCTGGCGCTCGGAAGCCTCAAATATGATGTAAAGGAGTGTTCGATACACTTTTCTGGCATATTCGAGAGCATGTTTATGAGAGGAGGATAACATGATTTAAGAGTACGATAATAAGCAATAAAATTAGTGAAATCACCCTCCTGAAATTTCACATTTGTGATGTGCCCTGGCACCAGCTCACTTCCAAAACATCGCAGCCAGTCCTCAGATGGTACGCCATGGACAACCTCTCAGCGACACTCAACCCCCAGCCGGACACGGTCAGGTCTGGTGGGGCAAGGCATCAACGAGCCACTTCAAGTGGTCTCCGCCATCTCAGGCGCCCAGTCAGCCTACGCATCAGCATACTCTGGGCCGCCACCAGGCGCGGCTAGAGACACAGTCAAAAGTACCACCCAGCCCCTGTCGGAAGTGTCAAACAATCTCCACAAGCGACCATTGGCCCGTCAGTCCGGTGCATCGGGACCGATCCCCTCCAGACTGCCCTACCGTTCAGTGCAGACAAACAGCTCGCCACAAAACGCTGGTTTCGGCATTCTCGACGTACAGCAGAAGCTACTGTTGGCACTATTGCTTTCTCTGCAAGAGTGCATCCTTCATTCGGCCAGTACAGCAGTCCCATCGCCATGGGGGTTCTCTCAGTGGCGGCTTCTTCTCTTATCCACCACTTGCTGTGCCTTCTCTCTTACCGGCATGCACGGCAGCCCTCACCTTGCCATTCTCGCTGTCAAACTTTCGTCGACTCTCTTATGTTGGTACGGCCCATAATGGAGACATCGCGGGGCCTATCACCACTTCACCATACTCCATCCCTTACGCTTTTATCATATTTTTTCTATGCCTTCAAAGTATACTTAGAAAGGCCCTTTTTATTTTTTTTTATTCTGCGCTTAGGTGAGGAAGTGATTATGCTACTTAAGAATTTAAGATTGAACTGATTGCTTTAATTAGGATTTGATGCCCAAGAAGAATAGTTAATTCATATTGAAAATTAAATTCGCCAAGAGACAAAGATTACATTGTAAAAAATGCATATTCACGT